GTCATCTGAACAGTTTCTTTTTTATAGAGACATTTCGCCCTCTATCCAGAGGACTTCATCAGTCAGAGGAGGAATTGACGAGGGACACCCCCATATTTATCTATCTATATCTATTTTTATATATCTATCTATCGATATATATATATATATATATATATATATATATATAATATATATGAAATAAACTACTTCTTACTACTTGTACTTACTTCGCGGTTTTTTCACTTATCGTGGGTCTACAGGGTACAGATCCCCCGCGATAAACGAGGGACTACTGTAGCTTAATAAATGGAAAATATAAAAACAGGAAACAACTGTGTAACGCAGCATTCACAAAATTAGCATATAAATGTTTTACTTCTTATGAGGTATGCATAGATGGAGAGAATTGAACAACATTTTTCATGCTCAGGATAACAACAATCACATTACTCTCAACCCTCTTTTAATATGTTGTCTGCATTGTGTGCTTTATCAGATTTCAGGGCCAGAAATGCAGAAGAAAGAGCTCCAGACCAAACACAGAGCTCTGCACACGGAGGGTGAAGAGCTAGCAGCTGCTAAATGTCCCAGTGAGAGCTTCAGTCAGCGTAACGCACTCTTCAACAAGGAAGCACTGCAGGTAAAACACTTGTGACACGCAAACACACGGGCTTACACAACCTATACCTTTACAAAACAAACTCAAGCAAATATTTTTAGGTTTTAATCTTCAATTACTGGGAAGGACAGTGCATAAATGTTGAAACACCTTTATTTTTCTTTTTTGGGCATCGCAGGTTTTTATTTGCTGCTCCCACTGCAGCTGTGGTAAAAAGAAAAGTACAGAAAGTACCTATTTTATCACAAAATGTTCAAATCCGAGTGTGATGGTGTCCAACATTCTTAGTTCACACTTCTTATACAGTTGGTTCATCAGCAGGTATGTTTTTGTTCTTTCACCGTGTCGCTCGCTGCTATTTAAAGTTTTTGTTTCTCAGATCCCCGCACACCCAGACTCCCACTGACGTGTCTGACTTCAGAATGTTCTCTTTAAAACAGGAAGTGAAGGTTCTTTTAACTTGTTATATACATCCATTATCTTCACCCGCTTCTTCTTTTCTTGGGGTCGTGGGGGGTCCTGGTGCCCATGTCCAGCCATCAGTGTGCGAGAGGCGGGGGACACCCTGGACAGGTCTCCAGTCCATCACAGGGACACATAAAACGAGACCAACAACCATTCACTCTCTCACCTAGGGACAATTTAGAGTTACCAATCAGCCTAACATGCATGTTTTTGGTCTGTGGGAGGAAACCGGAGTTCCTGGAGAAAACATGCAAACTCCACCCAGAAAGGCCCCCGGCTGGGATTTCAACCAGGTCAACCTGCTCTAAGAGAGGCGGCAGCTCTACTAACTGTGCCACCGTGTTGCCAACTTGTTATATTTTCTATAAATCCTAAAGATTCACATGTGACCACCACTTCTGGTTTAGGACCTTTTCTCAGTACGACTTATAGTCTTTCAACTGTGACCTTTTGTTTGAGGCTTACTTTCTAGTCTGCATTACTTCCTGTCTTAATAAGGGTGCTGTCAGGGGTGTGGCAAACACCAGAGTGTGGTAACATGAGCCACTGGTAGCAGCTTTAACACATCTCAGTTCTCTTCTTATACAGTTTTTACAGTTTACGTATACCCTTAAGACCCGCGATAAGTGAAAAACCGCAAAGCAGGGATAGTAGTACAAGTAGTAAGTAGTAGTTTATTTTAGTATTTATATAAATATATATATTAAGGTGTTTTAAACCCGCACACTATTGCAATATTCTAAACAATGGTTGTAAACGCTCTAAAAGAGCACAGAATGTCATGATTTCCCTCTACTTGCCTCCTCTGCTCGCAAGTGGTCTTGGCCACGCCCACTTCTCCGCTCTGCACAGAGATCAGCTGATCAGCTGCAGCAGGAAGCTTATCCTGCAGTGTGGGCTGCACAAAGGTGCAGCAGGTGTTAAATAATATAAAATAATTTATTTTAAATAAAAAGTCCATGCCGATCGTTCAATCAGCCAGTTGTGTGTCATGTCCAACCTTATTTTGAAAATAGAGCGAGTCCGTGATAAACGAACCGCGAAGTAGCGAGGGACTACTGTACATCAAAACGCCAACGTTTTGTCAACTAATCTTTATTCATTCATTCAACCTTTATTTAGACAGGTTAATCCCATTGAGCCTCGGGGACTCATTTACAAGAGAGACCTGGTTTTAACCAAGAGTGATGACAACAATGGACAATCAGAAAGGATGAGTACAAAAAAAGAAGTTCAGATTCATTAGTGGTCTTTAGAGAAAACAGTTAATGTTTGTGGACATTTTGAGCAGCATTAAATCTTAAAAAAGCTTTAAAATAAAATCCTGAAGATCTGGGAAAGAAGCTGTTGCAACAAAAACATGGCGTCCTGCTGCTGAGGTCAAAAGACGAAGGCTACCTGTCGCGTGTTCCTCCAGTGGGAACAAACTGTGAGCTGCTTCTTATTCTGTCCCGAGAAAGCTGTGCGAGCTGGATTCAGCTGAGAGAAGTGAGGGAGGGGAAGCCGCCACCACCAATGATTTAGGGATGAGGTCATTGTTTGGCTTCGTCTCTTCACGCCTTCGGCTCGCGGAGGCTCGGCCGAGCAGCGCCACTGCTCGTGTTATCTCATCGCTGCGACCATTTTCCTGAACACAGGCGTTTGTTTTTCAGCAGCTTTGGAGGAGGGACATTTTGTCCCGTGGTTTTGTCATTGAAACTCAAGTTGAGCAACCACCCAAACTTATAAGCTATTTACTTCCAAACAGACAAATTTAATTTTAGACGTGTCTGCTGACGGAAGCGTGCGACGTACGGACGTATTGAAAGCAGCACGTTAAGATTTGCAACCCTTCTGTTCTCGTGTGTCATGCTTATCCATTTGCAGAAAGGGCTTTAAACAAAAAAGTTCTGGTACCGAGGGAGCCGCTTGTTCGGCTGCGATGTGGCCGACTTCCACAGCTGACGAAAACGTACGCTTGTAAAGTGGAAGAGACTTTTAAAGGCCTCTAACGGCTCGAGCAAATCAGCGTTTCACAGAGAAGCGTGTTTGTTTCAGCAGCTGCTCTGCTAAATGTCCAACTTTTCATCGTTTATTCTCCTGATAGAACAAACAAACAGAAAAACTCCAACTCCCAGTGTCTTCGGGGCCAAGCTGCATTCTTGAGATGTGGAAAAATGTACACGATGATAGACACTTTAAAAGTGTAAGGATCAGGATATCCAAAATAAACAAGCTAATCCTTATTGTCCATTAAAGGCAGCCTGTAATGCAACAACCTGCGGCTCGGTGTGTGTTTGTCTTTTAACAAAATATCCAGTGAACCATTGAACAGATTTTAATGAAACCCTCAGCATGCATTCATTACATAGACAACTGATTCAGTTTGGAGTCATCCACATGAAAAAATGTCCACCACAGCTTCGTAACCTCATCAAACTGAGTCAGCTCCTCAACACCTCAAAGACTAAGGAGCTGATGATCAACTTCAGGAAAAAGAAAATGGCGGTCCCACCCCTGATTATAAGTGGAGACAATGTGGAGAGAGTAGCTGACAATCATTTCCTGGGAGTCCATACTGAGGTGAATCTGACCTGGAGCCTGAACGCCTCTGAGTTGCTGAAAAAGGCCCAGCAGAGACTGGAGGAACAACATCACCCAGAGATTGCTGGTGTTTTTCTACCGATGCATCTTAACATACTGCATCACTGTGTGGTGTCCTAGCTGCACAGTGGCTCAGAGGAAAGCGCTGCAGAGAATTAGCAACACAGCCCAGAGGATCGTGGGCTGCCCTCTTCTCTCACTGGAAGATCTACACAGTTCCTGCTGCACAGGAACAACTAGTGTGTTATCAATCTGCTTGTGATGCACATGTGGAGTGTTTAAAATCTGTAACTGTTACCTTTTATACAGTTGGATATATTCAATCCAATTCAAATTCAAAAACACTTTATTAATCCCAAAGGGAAATTAAATGTTGTAGCTCATCATCCTTGTTTTATTAAGAGCTGTTATAGATGCTGATGGCGGTAGGCAGGAAGGGTCTCTTGTAAAGGTCTGACCCACCGCGGATCCAAAGAAACTGGCCACAGATGCCATCCGTCAGATTCTGCTGGCCTCTCGGTTCCCCGGGCTGCAGCATTGCCCGAATGCTGGGCAGAGCTCCTCCCAGAGTGATTTGTCACGTCCCAACAGCCTGCCGAGCTCCTCGTCGCTGCAGACAGCCAGCTGCAGGTGTAGGGGGATGATCCCGGTCCTTCTGCTGTCACGAGCCACGTTTCCTGCTAGTTCCAGGGTCTCAGTGGTCAGGCACTCGAGCACAGCCGGCAGGGAGACGGGAATGCATCTATGGCGCCTCCTTTTCAACTCATTTGAGATTTGGGGCTGTAACTCATATATTATTTGAACTTTTGAGATGTTAATCAGCTGCTCTCGGGTGTAAAAAAAAAAAGAAAAAAACCTTGTTGCCATGGTTATGCATCATCACAAATGTTCAAAAGTAAAAAGGTGTCAGTAAAAATCCTTCCAGTTGCACAGCATCCGACACCAGAGGAAACAAACATCCAAAAAAGTGATTTACATCCAGAAAAAGAGGAATTAGTTTCCAAAAGCAAAATCTCAGAATGAA